CAGCTTGCTTTTCCCTGGTCCACATTGGCTATTGCTTTCCAGAGATAAGACCTTATGGATACAATTGGGTATCTGCTACATATTGAGTATGGAAAGCCCTAGGCCAGGGGTGTCAAACTCAAGGCCCGGAGGTCGACTTGGAAACAGTGGAGGACTGGCCCACGGTACCCCTGCCAGCAAAAACGGAGCTCGGAAGGCCCACCCGTGGCCCTCCGAGCTCTATTTTTTCTGGTAGAGGGTTGCAAGAGCCATTGGCAGCCGAAAACAGAGCTCAGGATCCCATTTTCGCTGGCAGTGTGCTTGGGCCACTGCAGGCATCCCTAATATGAGTGACATTAAGCTGGCCATGCCCATCCCAGCCTACCAAGGTCAAACATAACCCTAAGTGAAATTGAGTTTGACACTCCTGCCCTAGACCCACATCCTGCCTCTATAATTGAAACTCTATGCCCCCAGCTGCTAAGTCTGATTCTAAGATTTGGATCAATTAGGCAGGTTGCACACTGCATTCAGTTTTGTATGCTTGCAATTTAGGGGTTGCTAATCCCTCAGGAGCTAAGACACTGAGCTTGTCAATCAGACAGCTTGGCAGTTCGGCAGTTCGAATCCTTAGCGCCGTGTAACGGAGTGAGCCCCCGTTACTTATCCCAGCTTCTGCCAATCTAGCAGTTCGAAAGCATGTAAAAATGCAAGTAGAAAAATAGGAACCCCCTTTGGTGGGAAGATAACAGTGTTCCGTGCGCCTTCGGCATTTAGTCATGCCAGACACATGACCATGGAGACATCTTCGGACAGTGCTGGATCTTTGGCTTTGAAACTGAGATGAGCACTGTCCCCTAGAGTCGGGAACGAGTAGCACATATGTGCGAGGGGGACCTTTACTTTTAATCAGCTTGAGGGCCAAGCTACCTTACCAAAATCCTAAAGCTTCCTGTCATTTAGCCGCTGGCAGACCTCATTTCTAGTTTCTGAGACCTCATTGGCCTTTGATCCAAGTGTTTCCTAGCCATAACAAGTGGCTTTGTGCGATTTACAATGGAAGCCGAGGTTCTGAGAGACTTTAATTCCATCTGATGTTCATGCAGAACTGGTACATTTAGATATGGTTCTTATAATAAGCCATGACACTTCTTTTTGAGGCCTTTTCTCCTAGTCCTAAATATATCCAGTTCTTTTCCTTCCTAGCTTATTGGTCCTTTTCGGAGGATAACTTGAATTTATTCATTAGGAAATATATATCTATTTCAAATATATATCTGGATCTTTCATGTATATTTTCTCCTTCCCTTCCATCTCTCTCCCTCTGCTTGTCTCTTTTGCCTGTTTATTTCTGGTGCCTCAGGACTACAGAACAAGTGAAATTTCTCTGTTTTCTGTTGTAAGTACTCTTCTCCCCACCTCCTTTTCTGTTCTTTTTTTTTTATTCCTTTTCTGGAAGGTTTGGAAGTTCTCTCTGTTTCTCCTTCTCTGGTTTTCCCTCTGTTTGCATGTTGCTTTTTCACACACACCCCTTGCCTCTTTTCTTTAAAAAAAACGAGCGTGTTGTCCTTGGCCTCCATTTCAAAGGCACAATTTTTATCTGGCAGCTTTGCTTCCCAGCGGAACAAGTAGGGGGAGAGAGGAGGAGTCTGCTTGCTGTTGATGGCATTGGCGGTCTTGGATAGCAGTAATAATGTTTGATTTGATCTGCTGTGGATGGCATGCTTATTTGCAGTGGGTGTCTGTGCCTTCCAAATGATCCTGGCTTGTGGTGTCTCCTTGCAGCCTCCCAAATCAGGGCTCCTCTCTGGTAACCCAGTTTCAGGTTGCTGTCAAGAAAATTATATGGAAGCTCAATTGACAAAAGGATTTGCAGTAACTGTTTCAGAATGGGGGTGAGAAGAATGGAATTAGAATGATAGAATAGCATAGAATTAGCATAGCATAGCATTAGAATTAGAATTAATTAGCAAATTAGTTAGATTAGAATAGAATTAATTAGAATTAGAATAGAATTTGTATTAGAATTAATACTAACTAGTATTAATTAATTATTAGCATTAATACTAATTAGAATTAATATTAGGGTCTCCTGCTTGAGTGGGGGATTGGGCTAGATGACCTATAAAGTAGCTTCCAATTCTGTTAATCTGTTAAATTAGGAATAGAATAGAATAGAATAGAATAGAATTGGAATGGAATGGAATAAAAATGCAATGGAATGGAGAATGGAATGGAACGGAATGGAAGATGGAATGAAACGGAATAGGACACAGAACAGAACATAAATTTTTATTGGACACACAAGGAATTTGTCTCTGGTGCATAAGCTCTCAACCAAAAAAAGTGATGGGTCATGGCCACATAGGTGTTCAGCAGAGGGGTGGCACGGAGGTGGGGAGAACTATCTTTGGGTCTAGTTGTTTCAGCATGCAATGCCCTATAAGGTGGTCCTAAGGGGAGAAGTTGAAACACTTTATGTCCAGGATTTGAGGGGTCTGTAGATACCTAACAACCAATCTTGATCGTTCTTCAAAAACTAAGCAGGATCAGACTTGGTTTATTACTGGATAGGGTACCCTAGAAAGTCCAGAGCTTCTGGCCTAGACATAGGAGTTGCGGGGAGTAGAACCCTTATTCCAGGGAAGGCAACAGCAAGCAATTCAGGAGTGAAATTCAGCAGGTTCTGACAGGTTCTGGAGAACCGGTAGCAGAAATTTTGAGTAGTTAGGCAAACTGGCAAATACCAACTCTGGCTTGCCCCAGAATGGGGTGGGAATGGAGATTTTGCAGTATCCTTCCCCTGCCACGCCCACCAAGCCACGCCCACAGAACCAGTAGTAAAAAAATTGAATTTTACCACTGAAGCAATTCCTGTATTGTTGCTGAAAAAACTGCATAGATGTGTTTGTGTAAGTACCGCAAGCTTAGCTGATTCTCAAGAATTTGTAGGAGTGTCAACACATCTTCAGATATAACAAAAATCTGGATTATCTCATGGGTACCACACAAGATTTGGAGACTGGGGGCCTCGGAATAGGGGGGAAGGCAGATTCAGTCAATTCTTGTCTCAAGAACCTGTATTGCCATCCCACGCCTGTGGGGGCACCACAGCAGTTCTAAGTGCAAGGACCTGTTGTAAGTCAATTTGTTCAGCAGTGTCATAACTTTGAATGGTCGCTAAATGAATGTTCGTAAGTTGAGGACTGCCTGTATTCGTCCTGGGAAATAGGAAAGGGTGAGAATTTTTTTTCAAAATAACCCTGCCTTGATTTTGTTTAGTATAAGATGAAGAAAAAAAACCACTTCGATAGCCTTTCAAGATTTTGTTATTCTACCCCACAATAAAAAGGCTTTACTGGAGTCATTGCAGAGGTGATATTCAGCCGGTTCTGACCGGTTCTGGTGAACCGGTAGTGGAAATTTTGAGTAATTCGGAGAATGGGCAAATACCGCCTCTGGCTGGCCCCGCCCCTGATCTATTCACTGCTTTGCGAGTCCTAGTTGATTGGCTGGATGTTCTTTTGTTGCCCTGCACAGGAGAACAGAACTGGAAAGCTGGTTAGTGGGGTGGAAAGGGAATGGGGATTTTGCAGTATCCTTCCCCCAGGAGTGGGGAGGGAACTGGGTTTTGCTGTATCCTTCCCCCCCAGGAGTGGGCAGGGAATGGGGATTTTGTAGTATCCTTCCTTCCCACTCTACTCTCTCTCCCCCTTTCTCTTTCTCTGTTTCACTCTGTCTCTCTCTTCCACTCTTTCTTTCACACTGTCTCTTTCTTTCACTCTGTTTCTGTCTCTTCACTCTCTTCTCTCTCTTTTTCTTTCTCTTTCACTCCGTCTCTCTCTCACACACACACTCTTCTCTCTCTTTCCCTCTCTTTCTCTCTTTCACTCTCTCTCTTTTCCACTCTCTTTCTTTCACTCTCTGTCTCTATGACTCTGTCTCTCTCTCTCTCTGTCTCTCATCTCTCTTTCTCTCTCACTCTCTTCTCTCTTTCAATCTCTTTCACTCTGTCTCTCTCTTTTTCTTCTCTCTCTGTCTCTGTGTGTGTGTGTGTGTCTCTTCTCTTTTTCTCTTTTTCTTTCTCTTTTTTACTCTGTCCCTCTCTCCTCTCTTTACTTTCACTCTTTCACTGTCTCTCTTCTCTTTTTCTTTCTTTTTCTCTTTCACTTTCTGTCTCTCACTCTGTCTCTCTTTCAAACTCTGTCTCTCACTGTCCCTCCCCCCCCCTCTTAAAATAAATGGGCTGTCTTAGGCTTTCTGAGAACAATAGAAGCACACACATTTGCCTTAATTTTCCTTTCAGCAAGGTATGTCTGGATGCACGCATGTGTAGAATCATTCTAAACTCCAGGTTATTTTCATTGGGGTTTAGAATTCGCCGTGTAAGCCAAATCCCAGTTCCACGCTGGCTTTTGCCCCCTGCTTATTAATTAAGTTAACCACCGTTTCGTTGCTTAGGCATTGTTGGAGGGAAACCACGAACAAGCTCTTTAAAGACCCTTGAAGTGGAGGGGGGGGGGCAAAAGATCAAATCTTGCTGTGGTGGTTTATTGGTTGCTTCTCCCGTGGAGTCCAGAGCACAGTTGTTTGCGAGAGAATTCCCATTCAGCTCAAAGGGATGTGACGATGGCTTTATTAGTTAGCCTGAATGTAGTGCTTGGATTGCAAGAAATCACACAGGCGATTTAATCCTAAGGGGCCCCTTTGCAAATGGAATTGTGATTACAAGGTCATTCTGCTTGCACTCTGTAGCTGCACAGGCTGCGTTCCTTAGATCAGTGTTTCCCAACCTTGGCTACTTGAAGATGTCTGGACTTCAACTCCCAGAATTCCCCAGCCAGCGAATGCTGGCTGGGGAATTCTGGGAGTTGAAGTCCGGACATCTTCAAGTTGCCAAGGTTGAAAAACACTGCCTTAGATGACCATAACACGAACCAGCACAGGCTATTAGGATAAAAGCTAGCCAGCAGCTAAAGGCTTCATTTTGCTTTTAACTACTTTCTTCCCCGCCAATTAATTTGATGGAGATGAAGGATGGCAACTGGAATAATTGTTCTATTTATTTAGCATTTGCTGGTCTTTGATCTGCAGTGGTAGGGGGCAGAAAGTAGGGTTGGGGGCAGGCTGGTTCTTGCAAATCTTTGTACATTTCTTTGTTTAGGTGAAAGAGATTGAATAATTTTACTAAGCCAGTCCAGAGCTTTGGCAAATTGTGAATTTGGAGGATGTGGGCACAGGCTCAAAATGGCTGCTGGGGTAGTCCGTTGACAACAGGACTGCTGTAATTGAATATAACCAGGGATGAAATCCAGCAAGTTCTGACAGGTTCTGGAGAACCAGTAGCAGAAATTTTCAGTAGTTTGGAGAACCGGCAGATGCCACCAGAGTGGGGTGGGAATGGAGATTTTGCAGTATTCCTCCCCTTCCATGCCCACCAAGCCACGCCCACAGAACCGGTAGTAAAAAAAATGAATTTTCACACTGATTACAATCAGTTGCAAACCATCAACTTATCACAGGGGGTCCTTGACTTACAACCACAATTGAGCCCAACATTTCTGTTGCTAAGTATGACCTTTGTTAAGTGAATTTTTGCTCCATTTTACGGCCTTGCCACCGTTGTTAAGTGAATCACTGCAGTTGTTAAGTAAGTAACATGGTTAAGTGAATCTCACTGCTCCATTGACTTGGCTTGTCAGAGGGTCACAGAAGGGGATGGCGTGACTCCAAGAGGCTGCAACTGTCATAATTATACACCCATCACCAAGGGTCTTGTCGTGTGACCATAAGGATGCTGCAAGGGACATTAAATGTGAAAAACGGTCACAAGTCATTTTTTTCAGTGCCGTTGTAATTTCAGTTACTAAATGAACTGTTGTAAGTTGAGGACTACCTGTAATTGGCTAACTGCCACCCATTCTAGATCCCTCAGCACTTGCACCCACATCTGTTGTGTCTAGGGAATGGGTCTGGATATCCTGTATTGGCAATATGTCTTTTGCCTTGGAGGACTTGCTCAAAAGCCTTTTAGTGTTGGTTATTTCAAACCAAGACGACCATTCAGGAAATATTGGAGGGGAATGGCGGGTGACTTTGTTTCCCCACTGAACGTCAGCAAATTCAGGATTCGCCCTTTGTTTTGCTTCAGTCCCTCCCTCTCTGGCTGTGTGTGTGTGCGTGTCTCTTCTCCCTTGCTTGCTCTCCTCTTTCCATGGGGAAACCAGAAAATCTGATCCTAACTGCTACACCTTTTTTTTTCTTTACAGGAGTGGCTGCAAGGTGAGAAAATATGAAACTCATTCCTTGGCCCTGGATTCTTGCGCTCAGGTAAAGGTTTATTTATTTTATTTTATTTATTTATTTATTAGACTTATATACCGCTTCATAGGGCTTTCAGCCCTCTCTAAGCGGTTTACAATTTTTTTTAGCAAATTGAGTCAGCAACTTGCCCCCACAGTCCGGGTCCTCATTTCACCCACCTCGGAAGGATGGAAGGCTGAGTCGACCTTGAGCCGGTGAGATTTGAACCGCTGAACTGCAGATCACAGTCAGCTAAAGTGGCCTGCAGTACTGCACCCTAACCACTGCGCCACCTCGGTGTTCAGTTGCTCCCTCTTACACCAGGGCTGACCTTGTCTCGGAGGCGAAGAGCCAATGTATGGTGGCTGATTGTGGGCACAACCAGCTAGGAACCAACTTGCCAGTCTCAGAACTTGGCATCATAGGTTTTCCTGAAGATGAGATTGTGGGCATCCATCAGTGGCTGGTATGATGAGCCAGAGAGGCTGGGTTGAAAAACTTCAACCAACTTTCCCGAACTTCTTCCTTTATTACCTAAAACTGCTTATTGGGTAGTCTCATTGAACTCCACTGCCCCACTGTTATATGTCTCATCCTGCAGCACCATTGTAACTTTCAACTGCTGCTGAATCAATGGTCATAACTCAAGGTCTACCTGTATTGTGTTGTTGTTAGTTGTGAAGTCATGTCCAACCCATCGTGACCCCATTGACAATGTTCCTCCAGGCCTTCCTGTCCTCTACCATCCTCTGGAGTCCATTCAAGCTCACGCCGACTGCTTCAGTGACTCCATCCAGCCACCTCATTCTCTGCCTTCTTCTTTTGCCCTCCATCGTTCCCAGCATTAGGCTCTTCTCCAGTGACTCCTTCCTTCTCATTAGGTGGCCAAAGTATTTGAGTTTCCTCTTCAGGATCTGGCCTTCTAAAGAGCAGTCAGGGTTGATCTCCTCTTAGACTGACCAGTTGAAGTCCAAGGGACTCGCAGGAGTCTTCTCCAGCACCCTAGTTCAAAAGCCTCCATTCTTTAGCGCTCAGCCTTCCTTATGGTCCAACTTTCACAGCCATCCATTGCAACTGGGAAAGTCATAGCCTTGACTATACACACTTTTGTTGACAGGGTGATGTCTCTGCTTTTTAGTCTGCTGTCTATATTATGTCTATTATGCAGCAGACAGCATACCTGTATTGTAAAACAGTACAATTGAATGAGTGAACACACTGATTTAGATATACAGTGGTCCTGTGTCATCTACATCTATATTTGTAGTTATATTGTTGGTTGCAGTCAATGTTACCTACATGTCTTTGCTGGGTTAGATGTTTGAAAATCATTAAAGTAAGTTGCAAATTGTTCAAACAGCATTCATTCATTCATTCATTCATTCAATTTTTATTCCTCCCATCTCCTCTACAATGTGGGGCATTAAAGTGAGCATTAAAACTCAACAATCAGGAATGTTGAAACAGCAAATAATTAGAACAGAGAGTAATTACCAAGGGGAGAATTCTGGCATATCCTGGGGGTAATGGAGCAATTTTTAATTTCTTACTTTGAGTTGAGGATCAAACTAGGGATTGTTGTTGCTGAGATGGTTGTGTGAAATAACCGAATCTTATGTTGTGGGAATAGTGACATTACTGGAGACCAGGAAAAGGGTAACTGAGTCAAGCAGTTAAAGCCAGTTTAAAATAGCTTAAAAATATTAAAAACACTCCCATGTTTGAAAAGTTGGGCAAGCATATGTGTATTTCTGCTCACTAGCCTTGTTGTAGGAGATGACCAGGCTGAATCTGAGGGAGGGATCAAGTGCACCATAAGTCTCAAATCTCTTTGTGCCCATAAGTGATCTAAGTACAAGCCCACCTTGAAGTCTATTGACTAAACTTGTATACATTGGAACATCCTTGGCTTCTGGTTTCTTTGCCTAGTTTCATATAGCATGTAAACCAAGTTACTGTTCTGACCGAGGCTTCCCAAGAGCCTGAAGCAAACTCTTAGTCCTGACAAAAATCCCTTTTATTAATTTACTGTAAATTCTGTTCATTCACATCCAGCAAAGTCTTTCAAGGGAGGATTTACGGTCACAGACCTTATCTGGCTTGGAGAACTGCCAGGTCGATATCCGCAAAACTTGGCAAGGAGTCTTGGAGAGTCACGAACCAATGAAGTGAACTAATTGTCTCCTGCAAACTCCACTCCCCTTTTGCTCTTCTTTTATTTCCTCTGGGAGGGGCCATTCATTGTCCATCTGTGGACTCACTCCCAAGTCAACCTCTGTTCTTTAGCTGTTCCCTTCCTCTGGCAACTCTGCAAATGCGCACATTGGGAACAGGCTCCAGCTGTTCATCTGCCTCACTGATGTCCGACTCCGAAGGCAGCTGATAACTGGCATACAGATGTGCCCCCCCTCTCTGTCTCCAACACAGAGCCCTCCTCAGAGCCTTCCCCAGACTCCAGGACTGGCCCATGTTCCTCCCCGACCTCCTCACTGTCCGAATCTGCTGCCAGCTCTGCTGGCTGCTGGCGGGCCACAACAGTTATAGCATTTGCAGCAGGAGAAAGCTTGGGGTGGAAGCTCCCTTAAGTTTTCCTTCCAATACTTGCTGCAGCCAACAGGGACACCTCCAGATATGTGAACGTCAACCCCATAGATTCTCTAGCAAGCATGGCTGTTGCAGAGAGTGCTGGGAGTCCCACAGCTGGAGGGTGCTGGGATTGAGGATAGCAGGGCTTTTGAGATGTGGACCGCCCACCTCAGGGGCATCAAACTCGATTTTATTGAGGGCCGCATCAGGATTGTGTTTGACCTTGGAGGCCCAGGGGGCGCATGGGGCTTGGTGGGCGTGGCTGGGGATGTGGCCATGGTGGGTGTGGCATAGAACCCGTATTGGAGGAACCTGTGGTGCTAAGGCAGGACTTCCCTGAGACCCTCCCTCACTTTCATTATAATCTTCCTTCCTTTCTTTTTCCTTCCCTCTTCATTCGCCTCCTTCCTTCCCCTTTCCTTCTTTTTCCTTCTTTGCTCTTTTCCCATCTTTCCTTCTTTTTCTTTCCCTTTCTCCTTTCCTGTCCCTTCTTGCATCCTGATATGCAAAAGGGGAAACAACAAAAAAGCCAACACAGTTCTAGGCTGCATCAACAGAGGGATAGAATCAAGATCACCTGAAGTGTTAATACCACTTTATAAGGCCTTGGTAAGGTCACACTTGGAATACTACATCCAGTTTTGGTCGCCATGATGTAGAAAAGATGTGNACTTTTGGCGGGACAGTCACGATTTTTCAAAATTTGTCCCGTGTCCCGCAACATGTTCAAAAAGTCCCGATTTTCCAAAAGAAAGAAAAGACGCCGAATCATCAATTTTAAAAAGGACGCCGTTAAAAAAAAGTTTTTATTTCTCTGAAGTGTCATTCCTGATGTGGCCCTTAGAGGCAATGGTTTCCCTCTCTCCGCTCGGCTCGCTTGCAGCGCCCGACGAGGGGTGAGGCTCCCTCCCCTCATGCATGTGCACGCGCAGGAGGGGAGGGAGTCTCGCCCCTCGTTGGGCGCTGCGAGCGAGCCGAGCGGAGGGAGGGAAACCACTGTCCTATAAAAGTCACATCAGGAATGACACTTCAGAGAAATAAAAACTTTTTTTTAACGGCGTCCTTTTTAAAATTGATGATTCGGCGTCTTTTCTTTCTTTTGGAAAATCGGGACTTTTTGAACACACCGCAGGACACGGGACAAATTTTGAAAAATCGTGACTGTCCCGCCAAAAGCGGGACATCTGGTCACATTACTCTGGGTGTTATGTGAATTTTGTTGTATGTGTAAACTGTATATACATACAATTGCAATAAAGTAAAGTAAGTAGTAAACTGCCCTAGACCTATGGTTAAGGGCTAAATTGCAGAATGGAAAATGTAGCTGCTCATATTAACAACAATAGCAACCTCTAAATGCATCTCCCACACAACAAATAAACTGAACAGACAACAAGGACTGAAAGATTATGGATAAATGAACTACATAAAGACATGAATTATGTTGTTTTGTTGCATCTTTGAAATGATACCATGCATGGGGCAGCTTATGACAAACACGTTTAAATCAAATTCTGCAAAAGGAATCAGTAGATATGTTGTAGATTATGATACCATTCAGTACAAGATTAGGGGGTATGACATACGTGTATATCAATTTCCACAAGATGTCTCAGGTAGTCAATAAACATTTTTAAAGTAGTAGGTCAGACAAGCAGTCCCATCAGTTGCAAATTTCACACACAGAAAAGTAAGGAAATCGATACCCAAAAGTTTCCTAGGTTTTCTGCTGCCTCTGCATCTAAAGGTAGAGTGATAATGAATCAATATTTCATCAGATGGCAAAAATCATATTTGTGGAAGGATAATAGAACTTTTCTAAAGTTTAACATAAATGAAACATGTCGGCTTAACCTTTGCCTGGCATCTCTATCAATTATGTTTCAGTGGGACCACTCCAGAATAAAAAGATCAGCAGCCTGAAATAACTCCAGCATTGTTATAATGGGAAAACCAGAAGTAGACCAAGTTATAACAGAAAAATACAGTCGAGGGGAAATAAACCAAGATTGGCCAGGCTATTGGTCAATCTATGAAGAAACAAGGGACAGATGCAAACTGCATAGATCAAGAAACAGGAATAAAGAAGGACATTCATTTTAGACAATTTTTCCATAGGTTTGTAAATTTATTTATTTTCTTAAATATTAAAGTTTGCCACATTCTAGTCACCATGTCTCAAAATGGTATGGAGACACACCAACTTAGGAAAGGCTAGGAATTGAGGGATCTTTGACAGCCTCGGAGTTTAGTTGTTTCCTTGCAGATGTTTCATTACTCAAACTAGGTACCTACTAGTGCTAGTAGGATGTGGTGTTGGCTCTCATTTTATATTTTAGTGGTTTACCCTGCAATTTTGGTAGAAATGGTCTTGGTGGTTCTTGGTTGGGATGTTTCCTGTTAGCTTGTCCGATAGTTCCTTGATTGGGGTATTGCTTACT